TAGTATAATATTTAGTTGCGCATATATATTCAAAAGCTATAAGTAACGTTTAATGTAATTTAAAAACGTCTACTTTATTATTAATATTTTTGTATTATTATGTTTTTGTTTTCTTCTTCTCCTTATATATACTTGCATCCGGTACCATCTACTGTTATTGAATTCTTTGGTTAGGTTCGGTTAGAACTGTGACCAACGAAAGAAAATATTTTTATTCGAAAGTAAATAGAAAAAATTCAAATTTTTGATGTTTCGAATTATCATTAAGTCGGACTTTTTGTTATTCGATCTATTAAAAGTCGGTATTTGAGCATAGTAATTATAAACGTTAGGAATATTGAAAGTTTTGAAGTATAAATGCGGAATTATTAAAATCGGTATTTTGAAATTCGTATTTGTGATTGACGGAATAAAGTTTTTTGTATTTGTGTGGTGTACCCATCTTTCAATCGTCACTTTTCGTTCCTGCACGCTTAGATCTTTTAAACTACGCAACGGATTTTAATTTGGTTTTCACTAATAGAGAGGGTGGTTCAAGAGGAAGATTTTTATATAAATACATGCATATTATAGTAGAGGAAATCCGAAAATTTCAAAGATTTGTAATGTGATGTCGTAAGAACATGTTTTTGTGTGCTTATATTGCAAACACTGGCTAAACCTTACGAGATACATCAAAGTAGTGTACAATCAAAGTGATCTACAAAAAAATATGCGATGGTGTATGTTTGTCTCCTAATGAAAACCCTCAGTAACCATTTGTATCTTTTACAAATAACAAAAAAGTAATGGGTTATACACGAAACTATTTTAAACAATAAAGTATTATTCTATGAATATACGACTCGTTGTGCATTTAATTTAAATCAAACTTGCCCTTTTCAGTATATCATTAAAATTAATATTTTACATAATATCAGAGATTTAAAATGCGGGGACAGAGTGGCCGCTGGTCCGCTAGCGTGTATGTCAGTTATCGCAGTAAAAAGTAGTCTATGTTATTCGCTGATAATGTAACTTTCCATTGGTGAAAGAATTTTTGAAATCTGTTAAGTGGTTTAGGCGTGAAATCGTAACAAACAAAAAAACGTACTTTCACATAAGTATGTAAGTATAGAATAACTAATTGATAAAGAGATTAAATACGTGTAAGCGCCTTTTTCTGCGTCAAATCTCTTCCATGCAAGGATTTCAAGTTTTATTTTAACGGCAAAAAGTGGCCAGTATCTGTTTCCACTGTTGTAAAATGACAAAAGTTATCAAAGTAGTTGACCTGTTTAGACGTGAAAATGAAACATACATGTTTTACAATATTTTTAGAACCTACATATAGACTACATTTTATGGAAAATGCACTCTGTTAAAGTTAAAATCAATAACTCATGATCACGGGTCTCTATAATTAATTATTTTTGAAATAACGTAAATTAAAATATTTATACGTCGGTAATCTGTATACCATTCAGGTCTTACTTTGACCTCGGTACGCAAATCTATTCAGTGTAAAGCCTATTATCCCTGGCCGGGAGCCAACACGCCAACAATACTCAGGCTACGTTCTGGCACAACACCAATAACCTGGATTATCTCATCCCACTAGCAATAGCTGAAACGCAAGATACAAGATTTACTACACACTATATTCAGTACGTTTACTTTAGTTTTTTTGTCTCACTTTCACAAAATTTTATTTACCTATAATGTATTGCCGCCTTACAATATTTCAGATATTTGTTAGGTGTGTGAATGTGGGCCGTCTATTTATTAGGAGATAAAATTTACTCGTATCCATAATTTAAAGATTACTATATCCAGTTGTAGAAGCATTTTTTCTTTTCGCTTGTATTAAAACCAGCTTCATTTATACTTTTTTTATTGTCTCTATATTTAATCTCTAATAAATCTCTAAATAAATACTGCAGCATTTTTACTATATTATATTTTTGCTTTTCAAATATACTCGTAGTAATGTTTTGGTTTTCATTATTCAATGATATTATCAAGTTTCTTTATATCTCTCTCTTCCTCTCTCTTCTTCTATGGCTCTTGCATATAAGTAGTCCAAAACTGAAATTGGTGAAGTATGTAAGTACTCGTATAATTATGTTAATTTATTTATGGGTATAGTCAGTTAAATTATTATGTTACGTATATCCAAAAATTAATGAACAATTCCAATATTAAAAAGAAACAATACACATGGGTGAATAATATCATCGAAGCATTGCACAACAGACGCAATAATTGGCTTATTCTACTAACTAAATTCAGCTCTGTTACGAGTATTTCACTGAACTGTAACTATTTGTGTATAGTACAGGCGCTAGGCATTTTATTAAGTACTGTATACAACGGGAATCATGTATATTGGACACATCGATTAACAGTTTATTCTTGTCTAATTTGTTAGATAGGTGTCGTTAGTAACAACAGTTCGTTGAATACATTAGGTTTACAAATGACCCTAGGACAGGACTGGGGTTGTGAAACCGCGGTCGCTTCTGTTGTAGTTCATTTGAAAGCTATATATCTACTATAGCTAGTCAGTACTATAGAAAATTGATAAATTCACTGATAACACGGATAGATTCATAAAAATTTACAGACACACTCTTTTTTTCTAGAATACGTCTAGTAGGCATGTAAAAAAAACTATGACGGAAATAGGTTCTCGTTCAAAGCAATCTAAACCGGGTATTTCTTTCTTCATCTACACCTTACAACATTCACCACAAGTCGTAGAAGATTTCTGCTTTATTGAGAGACGCCATTTGAATTCCATCTTATTATAATGGTTCTCTCAAGCTCAAGGAAAGAGGGTAAATAGGAAGGCACCGGTAATCGCTTACTATAAATAGTCAAATAAATCGAGCGTAATGACTACAATTTATTTAGAAAATTACTTAATTATGCATTGTATTTATTTCTGCATAAATCTATTGTCCTAATCTGTTTCCGAAGCAAATAAATACAATAAGTTACACATACAGTAGCGCTTTTGTATTACCAGTTATCCTTTAAGCCAACCCGTAAGTGCCACAGGCGTTTTAATGAAACCACATTTAGACGACAATACTGCAGCTGGCTGTGAGTAAAGTTTTTAAGTGCTTTGTACCGTATATACGTCACGCTTTTAAGCAAACTATTAAAGAAAGTGTAAAGATGTATGCTAGGATAGATACTACACATACTGAAAATAGTTATCGCTGTTTTAATAGTACTAAAAACTCCACCGCCGTTTGTGAGATCAGACTATTATTTAATGGTAAACGAAATTATTAGGTACCTATCCCAAAAGCTCTTACTTTTTTATATTTGTGAGAATGCAAAACACTTTTATCTGATATCATTCTTGAATATTTACTATGATAACTACTAAAGTAGCAACTCATTGTTTCATCTAAGTACCTATATACATATACTTATATAAAAAATGTAAACATTTGTGCCGTAATCTGTGTACGCTAAAACTCCAAAAATACTGCACGGATTGAGCTCAAATTTTAACACGATATGCAACCCGCTTCTAAGATTGTTGTTATCCATTTTTCGCATCAGTTTAGTTTATCATTTCTCAACATGTAACCGTAATGTGCCACAGCAAAGCATGGCAGGGCACAACTTATAAAAATATTTTAACTTAGGTACCTTATAAGCAATAAAGCATGGAAAGCGAAGTAGAAGTTGTTTAATTCAAATTATAAGCATAATTACAAAAGCAAGATATTCTCAACAGAATCCGTCAGAAATACCCAACCCTTTGGCCTTCGAGTCTACTTTTGGGTTTTCATCTCGGACTTATTCCTTTCATCTTAACCCTCTTGAAATAAAATGGTAAAGTAGAAAAACAATTTTTAATATTTTGTGATTCGTCGTATAAAATGTGTGCTTTGGGACTTAATTGCTAATTATAACGATAAAGGCATTATACTTAACAATTTAATATTAAATTATAGGCAACGATACCCCTTTCGGTTACCCGATATTTCGAATGAAATCTACCGTTCGTAGGTAAGAACGAACGGACTGTTGGTTAAATAAACATTACGACGTTGCAAATAATATGGTTAACGAACAGGTGAATTAGAAGAAAGGGTTACCTACCTACTATAGACATTCCATATGTCATCAAGGGCAAAGTACCTACCAGAGATACAATGTATCTTGGATCTTGTACCTCGAACATACTAGAGTCAAATGGTGACAAACAATTGCAGCTAAGACAGACTGTAACAAAAAAGCGGCTTTTATGGTCTTTCATCAAAACAATTTGAAGATGAACATTAGGCATGAACATGTAGAAGTCTTTAATAAATCTTCCTGCAGCATTTTATGTATATATAAAACATTCATTGGGAAAATTGGGCGTAGACGGAAAGGAGAACTAAAAATGTAAGCAATAGCTCGAGGAGAGCAGGATCGAATACCTACCTGTTTAGCTGATACCTGGTAGTGCAATTCGTGTGCTTCGCTTCTTGAAAAATACTAATAAAACTACGTTAAAACAAAAACCTTTATTCTAGTGTAAAGTAAAGCAGCAAACAAGTTACTTTAAATTCTTGTATTCCATAAGTAAGATAAGTATTCCATATAATTCGCTACCTTGCCGAGTGTTCAAGGTAGCGTAAACTTACTAACTTAAGACAGAATAGTATGTTCTTGAATGTCTATAATGAGGTTATATGAAACATGATAATTATATACAAATTATATATCTAAACGACTATTGATGTATTTTTTTAACATTATTTTGCACTAAATTCGTTAATGACAGTAAACTAAATTTAAAGTACTAATGTAAAAACTAAACGTTACGTCATCCACTACGTATTCGCGGGTTTTTAGGTGTCAGATTAAAAGTCAAAGTAAAAAGTTCACTCAACCATAGTAAGATTTCATTACAGATACAGTTTTATAATTTAATGTTATGTTTATGTTTGTGGAAAGTTGTGATTAGTTATACTACTCTTTCATGGATGCTGTGATATAAATAAAACAACATGTCTTCTCTTTTATCAGCAGAACTTTCTGCTACATGTAATGCTTTGGGAACATTCGACAAAAAATCAGGCAAATATTTAATTGATGACTATACCCTTAATACAGTCAAAGATTTAATCAGATACTTAAGACGTGATGGTGAAGACCATGAAATCCGTCGACATTTTGGTCAAACTAAAGTTTTACAAACTGACCTTTTACCTATGTTGGTAGACCATTGGGAAAATGCTGAGTTATTTGATGTTACGCTTCGGTATGTGTACATACTCTTAATATTTCTAATAAAAGTTTTATGTCATAATCTTCAAAAGATATTGATTCATAATTTTTGTAATTTTTTTAATTAACATTTGTTTTTAGGCTATTAGTTAACCTAACAAATCCAGCCCTGTTGTTGTATAGAGAAGAGGTACCCGTAGAGAGAACAGCTCGACACAATTATTTGCAAATTTTGTTACATTTACAAGCTTACAAAGAGGAAGCATTTACCAAAGTAGAAACATGGACCGTTTTTGCTAAAAAATTAGCTAAAATTTTAGAAATTGTAAGTGATTTGCTTTATTATTTTTTAGTTTTTTGATCCATAGATAAAGTTGCTGATGTTCCGGAACTTTTCTTTTAAAAATATTTATTATCAATTTATTATAATCAGATATTATTTTATGAAGTATTTGTATCATTAGGATTGGTCAGAAAGAGATGAAGATACAGGATTAATAATAGAGAGAATTTTAATTCTTATAAGAAATGTGCTACATGTTCCTGCTGATTTAGACAAAGAGAGAAGACCTGAAAATGATGCTAGTGTACATGATCAGGTGAGACTTCAATGTTCTTTTTTTGACCTGTACAGTTTTTTTTTTTAAATATGATTGCTTTTTAAGTTTTATCCATCTCATATTTTTAGATTAACTAAACATAAATCTCTGTGCTGTAATCCATCCTTTATTGTCATTCTTATCGCACAACCAACATAAATCAAAAAGACAAAATGAAAGTTATTTGCTAAGCTGCAAGCAAAAACTAGTTTACTAATAAAAGTGCATAACAAATTATTTGGTTACTAATCTAATTTACCAATATCAAAATAAACCAACTTTAAACTTTAACTCTAAACTAAAAGCATCTGACTAAAATTATATTATATTTTAGGTGCTTTGGGCTTTAAACCAGTCTGGCATTTTGGATATAATCCTTTACATGTCTTCTGAAAATGAAAAACAATACTTTATGCATATTCTTGAGATCATATCTCACCTGTTAAGAGAACAGAACCCGAGTAGCCTGGCTGATGCAGCTCTACAAAGAAGTGTTGATGAGAAACTAAGAGATGACCAAGAATTGTTATCAATTAGAATGCTTGAAAATAAACAAAGAATTAATAAAATAAAACAATATTCTGGCACAAGGTAATAAGGTTTCATTAATTTAAGTTTTTGTTTTATTCATTTTTTTTACCAACTTCATACACCTTTAGTAAATCCTTATTTTTAAAATGTTCCCATTTTGTTGTACCATCGGTATAGATCAAGTTGATCTTAGAAAAAAAAGGGAGGCTTATGATAGAATGAAAAGCAAAGAAGTTTGGTTGACACTAGCTACATGCAAGTTGGAAGACATTTTGATACTGGCTATAAAGAACACCCAGAGTCAAAACTTGTGGAGTCAAAAATTATGGATCACACAAAGTGTCGTCCCATATGGGGATCCAACCCACAACACTCAGCGTAGTGGTAAGAGTGGCGACCTTAAAAGACTATGCCATCCGTGCAGTTCTTCTTCTTCTTCTTCCTTTAATTCAGTGGCTCCATCGGATGTCGATGATTTTGCCAATGTCTAGGTGGGAGGTAGATTTATTAGTTAATAGGTTGAAAATATTTTGAATACCAAAAGGGAATTGTTGTGATTTTAATAGTTTCTGTTTGTGGTTCTGTGGGACAGTAGAGAAAAAAGAAAAAGGACAGTAGAAAAAAATATAGCAGTAAAGGTATTAGGAAACTTTATAAATTTATTTTATTTATACGAATGAAATGGTAAAGGATCCTGACAAATGGGGTATATACTAGAGTTAATAGATAAGCCAAATTAACGGGTCGGGATATTTGTTGAGGGAGTAGATCATCCGTGCAGTTGTTGTTCAACCTATTTATGGACATTAGAGGTATTGGAGTTACTTGTCAAGTTTTCCCTTCTATGCCAATAATTAAAACAACTCATATATATGTAACACCAATAATAATAATAAATGAAGAGCTTCAAGCATAAAATGTAAAATTAAATGCAAGCAAGGAAGGAAGTGTTCCAAAGATACAGCTGATTGGGGGTTAAATTTGGAAATGATATCATTTATTTTAGTTAAATTTCCACACTGGACAAAAATTTGTGTGATCCTCGAATGTTCTGGATTTTTTTTAATGTTTGTAAAGTCTCTGTAAATACTGACAAACGCTGTCCTAAAGCGAGAATTGTCTTTAAGAAGAATGTTTTTTTTTTTGTTATGGCAATCTGTCTAGGTGACATTAAGCAATATTTTTTAGAATTATGATTTTAGCGGCTTGCGAGGTATACATCTAGTGACATAGCCTCTTATAGTAAATCCTGAGGTACTCTCTTCTTTAGTCTCCGAGTACTTGGAAATATATCATAAGGTGGTGAGCAAGTATATTTGGGTGTAGTCTTTCACTATGTCTTGACTTTATTCTTTATTTCTTCTTTTACTGTAATGATACCAAGTTCTTGGTGAAGTCTCTCGTTAGTGACGTACCATGGTGCATCTACAATTATCCTCAACATTTTTGACGGGAACCTGTGCAGTATTTCCAGGTTTGAATTTGCGGCAGTGCCCCATAGTTCTATACCGTGTGTCAAGATATTTTACTTCATCAGATAGCGGTATTTGTACGCCATTTAGTGTGAATGATATGTTGAAAGGATTAATGTCAAATATAAAAGATGTGTATGAAGCTTTTATGAATCAATACTAATATTATAAATGTGAAAGTGTTTCTGTCTGTTACCTCTTAACGCTGAAACCGCTGAACCCATTTAGATGAAATTTCGTGTAGAGATAGTTTGGGTTCCAAGCAAGGACATAGGATAGTTTTATTTAAGGGGTGTGGAAGTTTGTATGAGGAATCAATAACCGCTGATTCGATTTAGATGAAATTTGGTATGGAGGTAGTATTCTTGATAAAAGACATACGCATATTTTTACCGCGATAACCGACATACATGCGTGTATGAGCCCGTCCGCTAAAGCTAGTGTAGAATAAGCATGGTATAGTAGGCTAAAACCTCCTGTCTAAGAAGAGGCCTTGTTGATGATGATTGATGATGTACGTAAATAACATACGCATATTCTCATGCTTTTTAGGCATAAAGGAGGGTCCTATATTTTTGACACCGTTTCATTTTGTGTGTAGATATAGTAATATGATTGTTTTCACTTATCCAGAAACCACCCATATGTTATTCCTATAAGGAAGTTTTTTTTTTAGATTTAATGCTCTGTTTTGTCCATTGTTGTGATGTATTATTATGTTAATTAATAGCTTACTACCTACTAAGAGTTTTAACATGCAGAACTTATAAGGGTTTCTTGTAGTAAGGAAGCCTTTAAATCTGTTACAACTTATTTAGAATATCGTTATTGAAATTATAAAACACGAGTTACGTAAAGTAAGTTTTTATTTTATTTACTGTATAGCGTTGGTATGAAAGCTATGCAGTAAATTGAAAAAAAAAATCTTTTAAAAATAAACGACAGTAGCAAATTATCTGATAAGATTTTAAATTGATAATTCAAATTTGCTTCAGGCACTCTCGTTTTGGAGGCACATATGTGGTACAAAACATGAAATCAATATCAGATAATGAAATTATTTGTTTAAAACCCCTGAATAAAATATCAAATTTAGACTTCAATGCTGGTAGCAAAAAGTTGAAATTGGTTAAACCAAAAAACCGGAGACCAGTCGAGAGCGGAATTATGGAAAGACGATCGGCTTTTGCTATAAGGTAAGTTCGTACGTTAATTATAAGAGGGTTTTACAATAATGTAATTAATATCTGCACTATTTCATGAACTAACGTTGAGAGTTTCATCTGTCGGAATCAACTGGTACTTAATCTGTTTGACAGATCAATAAGAAAAAGATTTTCTAATATTTTTTCTGGGAATTAAATATTATACTTACCTAGAGTTTTACCATTTCTTTATTTACGGTTGTATGCCTACTTGACGGTTTACGTTTGTATGAAAAACTATTGAATGGGAAATTAAACAACGTAATTGAATACTTTTAATACATAATTATGTTTGAAGAAAGCATCTACAATAACTAAATTATAATAATAATTCTTATCCTTTTGTTAGGTTGTTCCTCAAAGAGTTTTGTATAGAATTCCTAAACAGCTCCTACAATCCACTGATGCATTATGTAAAAGATGTTTTAGTTAGAGCAAAAGCCCAGCAAAATGACGAGTCCTATTATTTATGGGCAGTGAAGTTCTTTATGGAATTTAATAGAGGACACAACTTTCAGGTTGGATTAGTCAGGTGAGACATTTTAAACCAAAGAAATCTTGTTGTTATTTAACGCGCTTGTGACTCCTGAGTTACAGGCCTTTATGGGTGGGGGTAATCACTTTCCATCAGAAGAGCTGTCTGCTTGTTTGCCCCTTAAATCATTAAAAAAATAGAGAGCACACAGCACTTTTTGATTAAGTTCCTTTTATTACTTATTATTCATTTAGAATAATTACGTTCTTATCTGAATCTCATAATTACTCGTAGAACCTATTAAATATTGACTTAAAGTTAAAAGCGCGACCATAAAATTGATGACCTTTCTCTGCTGACTAGACTGTGAGTTAAAATATATGTCAGCTATGTACCTATATATTTGTGTTATCGCACGACTGAATATGATGTGTAAATAGAAATACCGTATAGAAAAATCGTATATAAATATTTCAGTGAGACGATGTCAGTTCCAATGTTCCACTACGTGCAACAGCAAATGGAGAAATATTACGATATGATCAAAGTTGAAAAAAAGAAATATACTGCCTGGGTTAGGCGGCTACACTTAGCGCTAAGAGCTTACAAAGAGCTATTAAATACACTCCTAGCTATGGACAGAAGCACTGATCCAACCGTTAAAGAATCTGCTAAAGTTTTGAAAAGTAACATTTTCTATGTGTTGGAATATAGAGAGTTTATTCTCTCTACGTTTCTGAATTACGATGAAAATAAAATGCCGAGGTTCGTAACTTACTTACTACTTAATTACAAAACTGTTATTAACAGTCTTTGATAGTTTCAAATTTTATTTAACTTTTTTTAATGTTTTAGATCATATTTAGTAGATTTAGTCGAGACTGTGCATCTATTTCTGAAAATGTTAGAGCATTATTGTAAAAAGACTGGTCTCGTTGTTCAAAAAAAAGTCAGAAAAAAAGCCAAATCTAAACGTAAAAGTAAGTACTTCTCTTTATTCTAAATCAGTTTTTTATTTGTTAACTTTACATGAAGCAGTAAATGTCGAGCAGAATGCAAATTTAGCAACGCACAAAGCTAACCAAACGTGTGTACCTAATGCAGTGAAAACAACGATAGGTGGTCCCATACATCATGTTAACCGTAACTACCCTCACAAAATTTCCATTTATGTGTATTATACTACTACACACAAAATACCCCATGCATTTACTTTGACGACAATATTTTCTACAAATGCTTAAGTTTGTCGTTAACTCCTTATATTACTAATGTTAATAAGGTAATTGAACACAATTTCAATATTTAATGCATTTTCAAAGACCTAAATATTTTAACCTGCGCGCTTGATATATTATTGATATTGATTCTCGATATAGGTTCTGATATTCAATGGTCAGTTGATGTTGTGTTGCTGAGGTTTCAGTGGTTCACTCGTTAAACCTTAAACTATTTAAACTATTTTTTTTAGTAAATAAATATTCAACATATTTCGCAATATCGACTCATATGGTAAAGTGCGTCCCTATGCGTCCGGTAAATTAATTCCATAAAACAAAAGACGAGCTATATTTTAACTCGTCTTTTGTTCTGTGGAATAAATTTTTCATAGACACAATAATTTGAACAATGAAGTCGGGGTCACTAAAACATCTAAAAACGTAAATGAACCAAATTTTTGTTTCAAAAAAGCTGGGATTTAGGCAAGATAATTTATGACCAGAAGTGATAAAGGAAAGAAAGCTAATTTATATTGTGATACAGAACAAAAGGCGAGCGCACAAAGACCTAAGGGTGTGGACACGGTTGGGCCCGTATGGGAGGAAGTAAGGGCGCAGCTGGCCGTAGTACTGAGCTCCGGTGTGGACGAACATCCACCGCCTTTTGATGCCGCATCCGACGTACCCATAGACCAACAGAAGTATGAATTTTGAATTAGTTAGAATTATGGTTTTTCTTTACTTGATTTGAATATAATGCTTGTAAAACGATACGACCTTTTTGTCTATTAAATATATTAGTCTGTAAAATGTAAATCAGTCTGTAAAATATTGATGCTACTCAATGGAATTTATTGATAACACTATTAAACATTGTTTTTTTTAGAGAAGATTGTATGAAGAATGTTCAAAAGCTGATGAAAGAGTACAAATTCGAGGATGCTGTTGGAATGTTTAGAGCTGCAAGGTTTGTTTATAATCTTGTTAAAAGTAATTACTTAATTTTTGCTTGGCTAAGTGTTTCTTAACTAATTATTTTATATAAGGGAAGTGTGGCCCGAAGAAGGAATATTTGGTACAAATGGAATAACTGAAGACGAAGAACTAACTATGCTTGAAACTGTTTACAATGCAGATTTGGGAGTTGAAGCGTCAGGTAAGTGTTTTCGTTGCTACTACTGCTTGAGACCTAAAGGCCAATTTTCGTCATAAAAGTTCGGTCTCATTTCAGTTCCAATCAACTTTCGATCGCACAACTGTCACAAAAGGTATTTTCGTAGTAAAATAGTAAAGACCAGCAGATTACCGATTCAATTTTCGATTACAATCAACGTTAGATGTTTAATACTTTACTACGAAAATACCTTTTGTAACAGTTGTGGGATCGAGAGTTGATCGGAACTGAATTGAGACCGAACTTTTATTACGAGATTAAGCCTTCTGGTGTTTACTTGAGAACTAACATCGCTCCACAATCATGACTGACTTTTCTTCACAAACAATAATTCACACAATCATTTCACACTATCAATAAGTTTGTCTAAACGGCTAATGTTTCCCTTATATTAAAGCCGTTCATTCTACAATTTAATCGTCAGCAAAGAGAAGTCCCTTTCTAAGCGCATTACATGAGATCTTGCGGAGGGCTGTAAGTAATCAGTTTCAGTATTATTAATTAGGTACTTAAGAACAGACTTGGCACACTATTACGGCGAAACCAATACCTGCTGTATTTAAAAAGGTACCTTTACAGAAGCTGTGGATGAAGAGAATGAAACGCAAGAAAATTCGGAAGAGGATGATGACGGTAATATATTTTGATTTTTTATAATTTTATTGTTTTTTTTTATTTTGAATCAATAATATCATTGTTTTAAAATTCATACATTTTTTAGAAGAAGAAGAAGAGGAAGAGAGACGAAACACATCAATAGTAGAAACAGATTTCGATTTTCAAGACTTTGTGAATAGGTAAGTATAGCTTAAATAATCACTTGAAGCGCCGATTTACAGCACGCTTCGGCAGACATTTCCATCTGTTGAATTTCAATACAGGGGGATAAGTAACAAAATCTAGATTCAGATTTAAATATTCTTTTGTAACAGTTTTTTTTTTTGGACATTAAAAGATCTAAAAACATTATTTTTCTAGTCATTTTTGGCTTAATGAAATTATTGGGGTCCAATGTACAAAACTAATAAATTTAATATGCAGGACAACAAATACATTGGGATTACCATATGTGGATTCACGTTCTAATTTTGAAAGCCATCATAGCATCATAATAACATGTTCTAGAAAATAAAATTACATTTAAAATATTATTAAGGATGGTAATGATGCCTCAGAGAGTTAGACCGACTATAACTGCGCTAGACGGCATGTATGGCGTAGTGGTTTAAGCGGTCGCCATGCCTACTACTACGCTGAGTGTTGTGGGTCCGATCCCCACAAACTGTTGTTCTGAGTCTGGGTGTTCTTTGCGTCCGTTTCATGAATATATGTAAAGTCCAAGCGATACAGGATATATTTCTAATGCGGGAGCTGTCATTTTTTTTGGATAACTTAGCTCATCACTAGTTTCTCTGTATACAGAGCAATGTATTTGCTGTCATACATTATTGCCATTGTTTATTGTGTATAATTAAAATATATTTACAAAATAAAAATACGTTATCAGGTTCTGCAGCGCAAAAGTGGTGAGCGCTTGCGTAACTCTCTTGGAGCAATATGACAAGAACCTGCCTCACACAAATCATTCTATCATTAAGATGTTGCACAGAATCGCTTGGGACTGTAAACGCCCCTCTATGATGTTCCAAGCGTCCTTGTTCCTTATATTTCAAAGGATTCTGGATAACCGAATATCGCAATTCAAGGTAAGTGATTTTTATTGTCTTTCTTTTGGCTACATTTTGATGTCTGTCTTTGAAAAGGTTACATATTAAACGCTCGTTTACCTTCTTTATTCTATCTCGTACATTCTCATAGCGAAAGAAAAAAAGATTCTTTGTTTTTAAAATATTAATTTTAAATAAAGACAGATTTATAGCGCGCCTTGTGAATGAGTTACCTTGTTGTAATAATTGAAAAAAAAAACAGACTGTATGTGAAAATGTGTACTTAAAATCACAAACCGGCGATTTCAATTTTTATATTTCGTAGTCATAAGTTTCCTATACTCACTCTCACAATTATGACGAATCTAAAGACACACCCACACACACATTAAACGCCAAAATCCATGAACCCATTTAAGCTACAAGTGTGTCAAAGATACATGTAAACAGACACTATAAACAAAACCTTGCTTCTGGCGCATTCGAGTAAAAAAATACCAATATCGATCCATTACTTTACTGCCTACTTACAACAGTAACCTCTAACCATCAGACGGTCTGTGCTTGTTAGTCACGTTTATGTATAAGCTGTGTCCATTTATTAAAAGGAATACTGAACTGGATATTTTGTTTAACAATTTTTAAAGTTAACATATAAAAATATAATCGTAATAATAGTACAATTAAAAAAAACTCTTTTACCTACGTATTACACTTACACTGACAGGCACATATTATGTTTCGGAATGAATTTATTATTTATTGTCATAAATATATTTCACCTTATCATAATTAGGATTATGTTGACATTTTAATACGTTTTCTCTTGTTATTTAGCTTTTTTTCTACCCAGCTGAGTAAACATTCTTAAGTAATTGAAAATCACTGTGGCAAAAACTGACTTTACTATTGAAAATACATATAAAATCAAACCGACACCGTATGCATTAAACATTACACGTGTGTACACTGGGGTTGACATAATAAAATCATGGGAACAATGTATGCGCAGCCCACGCAAGTCGTAAAGGTCAACAAAAGGAGGGAGAAATCTGTCGTTCCTGACCGATATGAATTAGTGACCTGTCATTCTATATTTGTATCCAATTTGTCATATTTTCACGATATACCTGAATACTTTTATGTCTAAAACTATCAAAATTATCATATTATTAGGGTTCCGTAACTCAAAAGGTAAAAAAGGAACCCTTATAAGATCACTTTCTTGTCCGTCTGTCCGTGTATCACCACCGATTTTCTCAGGAAAGGGTACACCTAACAAGTTGATTTATACAAGATACTGAGGTCTATGGTCCCTATTAGGTGTATAAAAATCAAGGTCCTGAGTCAACACGATAAAAAGATATGGGCAAATTTCGATTTTCGCCAAAACTTGTAAGTAACAAAATTTACCTTAATTTTCATTTTTTTTTACTTTTAGAGTTTTCTCTTTACTTGTGCTATAAGACCTTCCTATTAACCAAAATTGACAATTATAGGTCAACCGGTAGTACCCTATAGGTTTTGGGTCGAAAACCTATACCTACCGTAAACCGTTCCCGTTGACCTAGAATCACGAAATGTGGCAAAAAGAAATGTCTGTCGTTCGACAAGTACCTGACCGGTTTTTTATTCACTTTACTACAAACTTTAGCGCATTACATTATGTTATTAAGCACATTTAATAGTGTTCATGTACATACATACATGTAATTATTTCTTGTAGATACTCTTATATATTACATATAATGTAGAGTAGGAAATTAGTCTTAATGTAGTTGTATTAACATGTGTTCAACCTTACTTATTATTCCAAGCGGATCCTCCCATTATAAATTCAAAGTAAAAATTGTAGGTTTTAAATTTCAACTATTGCGACATAGAAAATAAGCGTCACGAGTTTTTATTGCCAGATTGTTTTTATTGCCACATCTTTTCTCAGTAGCTTTCACCTACGTTGCATTTGCGCGAAACAAAGAGAGTTGCGTAGGTAGCTAATATCATAGAAACTAACAAAAGAAATTACATATTGATGCATAGGTTCGGTCATACTAACATAATCTTACCGTGGGTGCCAGAGACTGACTATACTGGTGCAAATTATTTAAAAAATTGCTGTGTACCAGAAAGGACGTACTCGATTTCGCGTTATTAAATATTTTTATTATTATATACAAGTACAATAAAACTCACATAAACATAAATATTTCTGAAAACTGCCAAACTTTTTAAGTGGATAATATAAACCCCCGTACCTGGTTTGGAAAACGTTTGCGAAAAACTTGAAAAGTAAAATGAATATGACTGCAAATCTAATTTGGCATCATAAGAGGTGAAGGAATTTAGATTTAACATTAGAAGCTCGAAAACTAAATCAATATGGGCAGGTAGATATTCTTTTCGAGTATTTATCTGACAACAGGAGTGCATGAGAACTCAGTCAGACTTTATAGGGTTAAGTGATGCCTAATGACACTACACTGATGTATCATATACTTGGAAACATCCGTAACCGCTTAACAACTGATGGGCCGGAAGGGCTGACCCTAAGCGGCAAAAAATGTGTTAAAAAACAAAACTTACAGTAACAAATACAAAACAGTAAAAACAGTACTCACGGCAAAACAGTACTTTATAATATAAATACTGAATCAAAATATAATATAAATACTGAATCAAAAATAAATAAAAGTAACACATTTATTAGTACACATAAATTATTTGTTACTTATACGACCGCTAATACACTATGTTATTAATAAATAATACTAAGGGAAATTATGAGTTTAATTTTAACAACTAATAATCATTACCAACTTAAGCCTTTTTACCATAATGCAGTACTCGTACGCAACACATTGAATACAGCACACAAGGTAGAATTATCATAATAAAATATACGATAGCAAAAACTCTAAAAGAACAAATAACTAACGAATTTACTATCACATTCTGCAAAGTAAAAAAAAAAACAATAAAATATTTAGATAAAATAAATATTCTAAATCCCAAAAAAACCTCATAAAAGTTCTATTAAATAATTTCTTTGAACAAGAACTCTCCCACATCTTAGAGGTTTTATTATGTTTACTATGAAATAATAGTTAGATATGTAAAATGTCGCAATTTCTCGTGTTGTTGAATTGGTTCGTATGCTGCGATATTTTTCCCATATTACAACACGTGTTACCAAATTTAAGCTTTTTTCGCTGTCGTGCATACGATGTGTGGAGGGTATAGCAGGGGCAGATTTTATCGTCGAGCACGTTTGGGGCTATTGTTGGCTCCCCCAAAATGTAAAAAGAATCTAAATTAACCCCCTGTGAAATTTAGTTTCTATAGTTAACTGTGCAATAAGATATTGTCCTTAAAATCCCCAAGCATCGTTTAATTATTTTTTTTGCAATGTAAACAAACTCCGTACATTAAGACAGTAAAAGCAAAATGCTGCGGTGTTACGTCAACAATTCTGAAATTCTGCCATCGGTACCATCTGAAAATGCCTTCCATATTTTACCTCAGCAATCATAAATATACCCTTTTTGGAGAGCCCATAAAATGACAAAATGATAAAATCCGTTCGTTATTGTAATTCCTTCGCTGTCTTGTCAAAGTAATTAAAATAGTGTGATTATGATTACCAGGAATTGGAAAAGTTTGCCATATTTATTTTGAGGAAGTTTACGGAAGTGGCTGCTAAAAATCCTAAAGTATTCATTGAGCTCTTGTTTTGGACCAACATGAAGGATGCAGCGGATATTGAATACGGATATGATTTATATACAGACCATCGGTAAGTACCACATTACATACATGTATTGACTATACAAATGCAGGTGAATGAAAAATAACTGTCCAAACAAAAATGCATGAAAGAAACAGTTTTCACCTATCATGTTTGTTCTAAAACTTTGTATAAAGTTAATTTACATTCTATGACGTATTAGCAATAAAAGCTGTTATTAATTTAATATATTTGAATTCAATAATATCTTTTACTTTATATCTCAAAGATCATTTCTAAAAATACATTTGATGTGCTTGGAGTTATATATAACACGCAAGAAATGAAGTCTCTCGTATCCTATACCGTACCTATCGGATCGCCGTAGATACGTGAAAGACGTGGTTACTAAGCTTAGCTTAGTAAGCTACAATCACTTTAGATTTCATTCATTTATATATTATATGAAAAAGTGATGAAGTTGTAACCGCTGAATAAATTTTAATAGTCACAATGAACATGTTAAAATTGCTGAATTTTCACAAGGCAAAGATAGTCTCAATTAATAATAAAATTAATAGTATTCCAATATAACTAACTAATTTTACTAATATAACACAATTATTATACAATACATTGGCCCCCTAAGATGAATAGACACTCTTGTAACAAGAATTTCACATTTACTACCATCAATCTTTGTCCACCGTTAGTGAACCTTTCTGAGCTTTCTAATTGGGCCTGATGATGTTGATATAGGTCACATCTTAAACTATGATTGATTACAGTGCGGTCAAATTATTTTTTAAATTATGAATAATTTTGCAAGCATTAACTACGCAGGTCTTCAACAGACATATATTTTATCCATTACTATAAATTGGTTATCTATTTCGCTAACTATTTAAACATTTCTTTAAAAAGTTAACGTGTACGAAATTCAACCACAATATGTTTGCATACTTAGTGCAGTGTCTTACATTATACTTTTTTTCTAAAAAAAATTAAACACATACATGATAACATTATAGAAGAATAAGCTCTAATTTTGCAAAAAATATGCCCGACAATTCTAGATTCATCCGCTTATAATGTAAATGCTACATTTATAAGAAGGAATTTAATTGGTAACTGTATTCAGAATTTTAATTGTACATTATGTTTCGAGCTGCAAAACGGGCCTATTGTGCGCTTACATAATAATTTAAAATAAAAAGCTGTTATGTATGATGTTAGTGCTTAAATTTAATTTAAAATTACGTTTATTTTTGAAATTGATGCCTATCCATTTATCATTAAAGATTATTTCGGCAAATAACCGCAAAGATTTTTTTTACGAATTAAAACGAAGCATTGTGGCGCAGCGTAATAGAAGTTAATGTTCATATTACACGTGTACTTACGCATTGTGTACGATGTGTCGACTCGTCTTTTAGAGGCCTTATTTTGTCGTCCTGAAATCCACTCAGATACCCCCGTGGTGGTTATGTGTTAGTGGTCCAATTTTAATTTTAAATAGAACCAGAATGCAATGTCTTCAACCCTAGGTGATTTTTCGTGCCCAACTAAAACACTTACCGTTACTAGTGGTGAGCATCGAACAGACTTAAAAGTTTAAGTAGCTGAACTTAGGAAGCTCACAGTCTCTTTTGTGGTTCTTACAATTGTTTACATGTTTATAATGCATTATTTAAATAAATGTTTATTTATTTACAGCATTACTTAGTTAGGTACGACCAGCTAATCACAAATTGTATTCGTATTCAGTTTCAATATTTGCCGTATATTATGTCTTAATGTGTGTTTAAATGTTAACTTTGATATTTCTTTAGTATAGAGACGCTCCGGAATGCACGGACACCTGTAACTTTGTTTAATGTATTCAAAGATAGTGCCAACTAAAATGCCAGCTAGCTGACATCAACTTTCCTTTAGTGGCGAATTTTGTTGTTTTATTTTCATTAAAAACTTGCTTTAATCTTGCTTGTCTACGCACCTGATAAGTTTTGTACCCGGTTTTATGGAGCTATTTAAATACTAAGTCGTTTATATTTACATAATGATTGATGTTTGTATGGTATCTTTATTAAAACAGGGATAAACCTGGCAAAGGAATGTGGACTGAAGAACAAGAAGAAGAACTGCGGAGGTTGTATATGGAGAACCAAAGTAACCCTGCAACCGATCAAGGTAACCTAAAAGAAATTAGAATCTTATCAAGACGTTTTCGTAGTCGCTGTAACCCGCGCTCCACTTTTAATTGTAGGATAATATTATATCTGTGAGAGGAAAGCAATTCTGTAAAATGTACAGACCAACAAAATAACTGTAAACAGTAAAGCCTTTAAATAAAACGATCGTACACCAAAAATAAATCTGATACTCATTATCCTGTATAATCTAGGATTTTTGTCGGCGCGATAATTTGAGTAAAGGTTTGGTATCATTACCTCGCACCGTAATTACACAAACGAGCTTAACAAGTGCTCACATATCTACATGTTTATGTGTGTTGTTTTCTCGACACACAACACACTTAAACTAACGAAGCTTGTTTAGGGCCCTGTTTGTGTACAAAAATAATATTACATACGATTCTTGCTGACTTATTATGATAACTAAGGGAGGTTCTAATGAAATATTGCCATATAATATATGTTAGTGGGTTAATAGGAATAAACTCATGTAGGTCGAGTTCAAAGGAAATGTACTAAGTACCTTTAGGTGTAATGAAATATTTAAACTGATGTATTCACGGTCCAGGCTACAGTTTCTAAGAATGCATACACAAAGCTAAAGTAACACAGGGCACTGTAGACAACACGACAGTTATGTCTTTGTGTACTTCATCTCATACTAGGCATGCCTTTTAAGTTCTGTCGTTTCCATATTTCCCGGCAATTTTGAATTTGGATCTGTTCTACATTCGAATGTAATTTTGAACATTTTGAATCTCAAAACAGTTGAAAGTATGAGGATTAATACTATTGTTTAGTCACAGCGTCGATTGGAATCTGTCAGGTTACATACGAAAATGAATCTTTCAAAGGAAAATGAAAAACCGGCCATGTTGCGACTATTGCACTTGAAGATCGTAGAACGGTTAACGCAGAGTGGTTTACCACAAGTCATCGCTGAACTTCGAAAATATAACTCAAAGCGACGCATCATCCTGCACCACGACAGCGCAAGCTCACACAGCCCTCGTCAAAAGATTGGGTATTTGAAGCAGGAAGAAGTAGAAATTCTTGACCATCCTCCATACAGTCCTGACCTAAGCCCTAACGATTTCTTTACATTTCCTAAAATTACGAAAAGTCGTTCGTGGTCCAGTCTAGTCCGTTGAAGAAGCAGTCGACGCTTTCAAGTCAGCCATTTTGAACACCCCCCACTTTAGAGTGGAATAAATGTTATAATAACTGGTTTGATCGAATGGAAAAGTGTATTAAGCTACGTGGTGAATACTTTGAAAAACAATAAAAAGTACTATAAGGTTCTAGTTGTGTTTTTTTCTTCAAACGACAAAACTTAAAAGACATGCCTTGTACCCACCATACTATATGTATATAAAATTGCAATTCCATTTTATTTTTGTTTTCTAGGGGGTTAGCATTAGTCAGGCCGCTTAAATTAGAAAAAGACATGATGATGAAAATGAGTTTTCCATAATAACATAACTAACTCGTGGGAGAGCCATGTTTCAGCACGTGTATGGGCTGACTCGACTGGTGTGATACCCCCGTCGCACAGAAAACCTCTGTTAAGAGATTCTTTCAATGCTAAGTAAGCCTACCGGAGGCACAAACACACTGCCTATTTCTAGGCAGGGGATTCACTCGAAGGATCGCAACGGTGTTCATAGGCGATAGTGGTCTTTTACCATCAGGTGTCCTTGGCGAGGGTTGTCGTTTACCCTCAGTTTTTCATAGGCGACTGTAGCCGTTTACCATCAGGTGACCCGTTAATTCGCTTGCCCACTACACCTAAAATGTTTCATATTTTTTATTATTTTCATTAATTTTGCACACACTTAACTATTTTACTCTTTGTTTAAGATGTGATCGACTGGATCTTAGAGAACCTAATAGATCAGACTCGTACCAGACGGGGTGTTATTAAGAAGCTAAAAGAGCTAGGTCTGATATTCCGAGCACCTACAAAGCGCAGCCATAAAGAAGGAGCAAGAGAAAAAGTACCAAAAGAGTTCAGCGAGGAAGAGGATGAACTACTGAGAGAATTATGGGAACAGTTCAAAGATGTACCCGGTGAGTAATTAGTTGAAAAACCTAAATATTCAAATGTTAAGCTCAAAACAGCAAACAAACAAAAATAGACATGTTCAAAACGAGTTCTATTTATACTGCATTTTATTTTTAAACATTCATAATCTACGGCTTTTCTCAAGTGTCCAGATGGATAATATTTAATAATTTCTAGTTTTAAAACTGATCCATACTTTGATAAAGCTTCGATCTATTTGCGAACTCTCAGAAATGCTGAAACGATTTCATTAAACTTCTGCATTTTGACCTACAATTCTTAAAGATAGTTGAAAGTTTTGGAATTCTCAATCTTTCAATACCTAAGTTGTTTAAAGTGTATAATTCGATCTTATTTAATCTGAAATTCTGTTCTCGTTGTCGTATCATAACAAACTTTGCTGTAGTCAGCTGAATTTTAAGTATCTGTATTTTACTGTGTAGTGTCACCGCTATAGTATTACAACCAAACCTGATAATTCGCAATAAAAATTTAAAAAATATATAGATATAATTTATTTATATTTTTTTATATTTGCAATGTAGATACTACTAATATGGTGTCAGTGTGGTATAATTAATTATACTGTTATTATGCTAGGACTATTAATAATACTACAGGACATCTTTAAATGCAATATTCATACTCCCGCTCCGATCCTGTCTGCTGTTGCCACCCGGGACGGACGTACGGCTCGATGGTCGTTGGGCCGACGAATTTTAAAACTCTTAAATCTTCTAAAATATTCATTTTAATGATATGCTGTAGAGAGCAATTTTTATCTAAATTAAATGCACAACGTATCTAACGTATTTATTTAGATAAGGAATCATTATGTATTGTTTAAAATAGCTTCGTAAATAACTTACTATTTTTTTGTAATATTTAAAAGACAAAAATAGTTACTGTGGCTTACCCTTAGAAGATAGACATATACCATCGCAGACCTATTTGTAGAGCATTTTAAGATATACAATGCCGTAGTATATTATTTTGGTCTATTTCGTAAATTTTAGCCAGTGTTTGCAAAGTAAGCGCACAAAAACATGTTTTATACTACAAATCTTTGATATTCTCTGATTTTCTTAACTATAATATGCATGTATTATACATATGAACATTCCTCTTGAATCACTCTCTCTATGGGTTAAACCGCATTAAAAATCCGTTTCTTAGTTTAAAAGATCTAAGCGTACAACACAAAAAAACTACTTTATTTTATACTTTGTTAAGATGTGCGTGTTTTCTTTACTTCACACAGATTTTTACCTATTATAATATCAAATGGAATGTATCGTGGTATCGAAATATGTAATTTTAACTTATTTAAATAAATAAATTATTTGTTGTAACACAAAGATTTATTTCAGATCCAATGGGCGTAATAATCCCTCGTATGCCTCGAAAGCGTCAAAAGCGAAGCTACGTCGACAGATTGCTAGAGTTAGGCATGATTCGAGACAAAAGGGAATGTCGTAAAAAAAGACAAAAGAAATCTAATGCTAAAAGCACTGACGGAGATGACGATAAATCGAACAGTAAGTTGCTAAACAAGCTCACTTAGCTTTATTCTTAGCGTAGTGACGTTCCCTCGCCACCCGCATGCCTTTACCGTTTCACCTCCCAACCCCCCATGTCATTAAACAGATTCTGTATTTTATTTGTACTCTCGAACGAATAGCTGAGTGCGATAAAAATACTTTTACTTACATAAAATATGACTTATCGTTACTAGAAATTGAGGGAGCATATAATGACATTTGATGCCTCAAACTTGTTTTGATATAATGGAAAAGTCTTATATTTATATTGTACTTAGTAAAGAAACAAATATTTATAACTATGATACTTACGTCATAATAGCCTATAAAATTAGTTTAAAGCGAGTATTGAAGGACCCGAGTGTTTTAAACTGTGTGACAAAAAGAAGTTTAAAAGAAGTAGAAGTGATGTATAAATTATTTGCTACATAGTCAGTATATGCAAATTAACATTATGATAGTTTTTTTTTTATGTTAGCTATTTATTTTACACAATTTTATTAGCTTTTATGGTGACAATCAATATTTCTACGCGTTAAATGTTTTGAGTGCAACGTCTTATGCAATAAAACAATAGTCACGCCTATGATGATTAATGAATACAATAGATCTTTACCTATTTCTTTAGTTATATATGTATGTACGGTTCGATTCAATACCGTTTGTTTGTAACGGTAACGCTTCCTTATGCAAATACTCTAAAGGGTTTTTTAAAAGCGGATTTTATACTTAAGTATTTATTATACATATTACTGACGGGCCTTTTTGTCTAGTGGTTAGTGACCCTGACTGCCAAGCCGGAGATCGTGGGTTCGATTCAAGGACAAATATTTATGTGATGAACACGATTGTTTGTTCTGTGTCTGTGTGTAATTTATCTAAAATATATATTCATTTACTCGTAGAAATATATGAGTATGTTTCTCATAGCACAGGCTCCGCCTAGTTTGGGATCAGACCGTTGCCGTGTGTGACATGTGTGAGGTTTATTATTATTATTGATAAATCCGGAATTATATATCCCAAAGGAGCAGTAGCGTATTAAACACAAACATATTTTAATGACTTCCTTAAAATTCTGAATTGAATATCCATATTGACACTTCCATTGAAAGACCACAAAGCAGTTATCAGGGAGATTTAACGGAAATCCTTCACAATTCCATGTAAAAACAAGTTCGACGGTAAGCCCCAGGATGAATGTGATTACGTTCTCCAGTTATTTCATTCGAAAATCCTATTTAAAATTAACCTATGTATATCCACTAAGTATAAACATAGGGACCGTATTCTACATCTACATAAACAGTTAATATAGTTTATTACTACGTCAAGAGATAACTTTTGCTTTTATTAATCATTTGTATAGGACATCTCTTACCTTCATCGTTTCAAATTTATATTTTAGTAGCAGACCCGACAGACGTTGCACACACGGTCCGGTACACACTTCTTAAATCAGAAAAAAAGCATTTTGTCGTTGTTGTCGGACCGAATTTTGAATCTAACCCATTCTGGAATCCACTTGAACACACAAAATTACATCAAAATCGGTCCAGCCGTTTAGAAGGAGTTTAGTCACATACACACGCACAGAAGAATAATATATAGGTATAAAGATTTAAATTGATTACAATATGTAATAAATTTATTATGTATGTACATACTAAATGAAAACTTTGTTGGGTGTTCCTTTAAAACCGCTGCAGAGTTTCTTATCGCTTACTACCGACTTTGACTTTATCGTTTTTTTTCGTACTATGTGTTATACCTACATACCTCTTTAAAATTTGCTGTGGCAAAACAAACCTTAATAACGTAGGCTGTAGCTCGATAACGCATTAGGAATCCTTTACTTTTAGGTAAGCGTTAATGTCGATCGATTATTCTAGAATACTCATGCTTTTCTAGGCTTCTAAACTTTTACAATTTACTCGAACCAATATGTTGTTCCATCAAACTTAAGATGTGACAACTTTAACAGTTATTATTTTATCTTTTGCTCATAAACGACAGATGAAATTACTATTGCCCACGCAAAATTATTTCTGTGAAATGAGTTTCTAATATCGCCGATGTTGATAAAATATCTAATTAAATAAGGTCACGTGGGTGCGGGCAAACAGTAGGCAAAACCTAAGCCTAACCTAATGAATTTCACTAAGCTGATTTGTAAGAAAAATAATATTGCCGCAAGACCTTAAATTATCTTAAAATTAAAATGTGGGTGTAGCACGCCTCTTCACAACTTTGTCTGTTAACTTATTTAAATAATTTGCTTTTAAGAGATATTTTTATTCTGCCAGTCTTCTTAAGAATATTCTACGCAGCGTGTTCTAGCCAAACGAATCACAGCGATGAGTTCTAGAATAACCATACTTAAATACATTTATTATATATTTATACAAAAATCTTCATATACTACAAAGTACACCCAGGCACACGAACTCATTATTAATCTCGATATTGTACTCGAGTGCTGTGCCACTTCGCCGTTTGTTAAATGTGCCAATGACATATCGAGATTGCAAAAAAATCCATCCCAACACAGGATTCAAGCAACTTAACCGGAGGAGAGGTGAACTATTTTTAGATAAAATCAAAATATATTTAATAACGCCACATGTTAACTGTAGTGTAATTTTATTTCAAGTTCGAAAATATAAATATTTACTACAATAAAGTAATTTAAAATATTGTATTAGTAAAGTGCCACAAATACTATAATTTTATTATAATGGTATGTATTATATATCATCAAAAATAATATAAAATACATCATCAAAAATAATATAAAATACATCATCAAAATAATCATTTATATTCAAACAAACGTAAATGGATAATTTGCATTTGCTCCCGTGCATTTATGTGTTAATTGAATTAGTATATAAACTCAGAGCTACGGTTCGCATTCTCTCTATTCGGTGGTCTTTTAAAACGTAATGTTTTGTACATTATATCAATGATAGTTGTACTTTAAATATGTTTATAACACTTTACAATGTTTAGGTAGTTCTTCCGAATCCGAGTTGTCTGACCAATCAGACTCCGATGACAACACGCCACAACAGCTACAACCAACCAAAACAAGGCAGCCCAAGAAAAAAAGCGAACCGAAGTCAAATAACAAGAAACAAGCCAAGCGTGTGGAGCTCACTGCTAATGAGATCGCTAAGCTCCTGGTGCAAGCTGTAGATAACGGTACGTGATTTACACATTTATACGAAAGCCCTTTCTTGAATGATTTGCCTTTGTTCCACAAAACAATCAATACATAAATTGATAAAGGAAAAATAATTTAGTGGCTTTTTCTTTTATGTTTGTTAACCTATTTTTTCACTAATCCTTTTTTTTTATCAAAACATGAAAAAAAAAAACAAAACATCAAATTCACATCATGTGATTTAAAAATATGCCCAAGGAAAAACGTATTACACATGAAAAAAAATCCTGAACAGTCAATCGTTTGTCGGCTACATCCTATCATTTAGTTTATTTGAACTCACTGATCTCTGGAACCATCAGACAATTTTGAATTGGAATAATTCTTTTTGTATTGTATAGTATGAATGAATTAAATAAATAGTAATTCCTAAAATTTTAGTGCGTTAATATATTATAACTAATATTCAAATACTTAATACTTGTTGTTCTTTGTTTATGACCCACAAGGTTTTCTTAGAAAAAAATAAATCAAAGTTTTAAACATTATTTATGTCAAACATAAAGTTTTGAATGGAAACATGAACCGAGGAAAAAAATTGTTTGCATAAATTTAATTAAGAATGTGAAAATCATAAACATATTATACACGTTTTTTTTAAAACACGAACACTTAGTCGTTTTAAATTAAAAAACAAAACTTGTTTCATTAATTAATAGAAATTCCTTTCAATCGAATGAAAAATGAATATCTTCTTATAAAGTCCAGAACAGTCGCATTGTTTCAATAGTGCCCTATTATAATTTTTAAATTTGTTAAAGCGAAGTCGGTTTATTAGTTCTCCATTTTCCAATAATACCTCTTCGTACGATACTTACCTATATGTAGTAGAGTTCGTATTTAGTTTAATGGTTTCATATAAAACGTGCTCTTATAATAGGTTTAACGGACGCTTTGAAATGGCTCGCTGAGAATTTAGAAGAAGTGGCTTTAGACCAAGAGGCGGAAGGATTCGACCCAACATCAGAGGGCACTCCTGTTGTGCCAATATCTGAGGAGTCCGTGGACGCGATGGGCAACGAACTGTTCAAGAAAGTATTGTTAGGTGTGGGCGTCAACCCTCCAAGCGACGAACAGGCATGTATATTATTCTCTTCCACTCCATAAAACAAAAGCTACTTTATTAACAATGTATTGTACCTCTAAATACATTCGAGAGCCCTTCCCCAGACCAACTGTTACCAAATTAACGAGCCGAGTCACTTTATAAACCGTTACAGGAAAAATATTGGAGAATACCGAGCAGCCTACATTTCGACACAATTAGGAAACGGCGAGAAATAATTATGAAAGCAATTGACAAAGAACTTATCATTGCGACTAGTGATGAAATGGAGGTCGCCCCAAACACGGAAACGTCCCAAAATGCAGAAGAATCCAGCGATGATGATGATTTATTCGATAATTTAAGGAAAATGCGGGAAAATAATGCAGAAAATGTTACAAATAAAAGTGGCGTTGCGAAATCCAATAATGAAATAACACGTAATCGGAAGCGTACCCGCAGTGATTCCGACCATGACACTAGCAGGAAGATGAAGAAAATAGACGAGGGCGACGAAAATAGTGCCGAAGATGATATTGACGATATACTGTCGTTCGCGAAGAAAACATTGCAACATGAAGATCTGCCCGATACCGAGGAGTTAACAAGTAACTTATCAAAAGTTTATAGCGGTAAGCATCAGAAAATTATAATAATAAACCTGTGATTTCATAAACTATTCCTAGTAAGAAGTGTTTTTGAAGAAGCGTAACTTCTATCACACTCTCACTATCTATCTACTACATCTATCACACTAAGTATGATAAAAATAATACCAAATTTTTTGCTTAACACGTTGGACGCCATGTGGCCCACCATGTGTGCCAATAGAGAAAATCAGTTGGAGCCAAAGCAAAATCTTATTTCTGATATTTTTTCAAATGTTGTTTTATTACACTAATCGATGAGAAATATGATATTTGGTACTACTAATTAGAAACAACAGCTTGTGTATGCCTAAATCCTTAGATTTAGTAAAATGGCACACAGGTGGGCCGCGTGGCCTAATTGGAAAAAAATGCGTGTTTCGTTCCGCGGGGGCCACGGGGTCACACTGCGGCCCACCCGCGCACCTCATCATTTTTGCTGTGATTATTGCCTTGATTAAGTTTTCTATTGTTTATAATGGATGTAGATGCCTTTGAAGACTTTGTTATAAGTGAAGAGGACTTAGCAGAAATTGAAAGTGTTGAGATAAACCTCCTAAATAACAACAGTTTTCAACTAAGTTCGGATGAAGAATTGAATAACGTTTCATCACGTACAAAGTGTCTACGTATTTTGCTCTCCGAGTCCGAAGAAATCGACTGTGAAAATAGGGTTATTCCTAATACTACAGGTAAGTAATTATATTTATAATTTTGCTGTTACAGGCCACACACTGTATACCGATAATTGGTACACAAGTGTTGACGTGGCCCGAAAGCTGTTAGATAGTGAGACACATTTAGTGGGCACCCTCAGAAAAAACCGGCAAAACATTCCGAAAAGTGTTGTATTTTGCCAACACATTGCCGAAACACATTGCCAAGGAAAGCGCAGACTGTATCACTATAATGAAATGGAAGGATAAAAGAGATGTCCTCGTTTTGTCTACTAAGCACTCTGTACGTTTTCACAATGTTACAAAGCGTGGAAAAGTGATATCCAAGCCGCAAATAATTGTAGATTACAATAAAGGTAAAGGTGCCGTCGATTTATCGGATCAAATGACTTCGTACTACGAACGAACGAACGGACTAGCCGTTGCGTAAATCCGTAAAATGGTACAAAAAAACTTGCAATTGATTTACTCTTGAATACATCGATGGTCAATGCTTTGACATTGTACAAGAACACAACAAAGCAGAGCATTCAGATAGTGAACTTTAGAACACAAATTTTAAAGAATTTATCCAGCCAAGACGAACAAGTTGTGATAGTACAAAGGCCGAGGACACTGAAGCATATTTTGGCCAAGAAAGATGGTACAGCTAGAGTAGCTAGACGAATCTGTCAACAATGCTACAAGGAAAATGCTAAGATAATGGGCGCAAAACTGGCCAAAAATAAATCAAAAAAGGTGGTAACTTATTGCACAAGTTGTCCAAATAAACCGTGGTTGTGTTTGGAATGTTTTAACAAAAATTCAGTCCAAAAATATTTTATTTTTCATTTATAGTTGTGTCATATACTGGCGCCATTTAGCAGACTGATTTTGTTAGATCTCTTTTAGAGATTTATTTGAATTTTAGTGCAGTTTTTTTTATGTAAGTATTTTTTATTTTGCCATTAATAAATAATTTAACCTTTGTTTAAGAGAGAGAGAAAGATAAGACTTAAGAAACTTGTGTCATACCTATTAAAATCTAAGTTCTCGGTGTTCTTTTTTGAGCCCTATAACAAAATAAGTGTTAAACTTTTAAAAACTATTTATACAATATCAATAATAAAAATATTACGTTCAGATTCAATTATTATTTTCTATAAAAACCCCTTTTACCAGTTTATTGTGTATGAAGTTTAGAATAACCCCAAAAAAGTAATGAAAATCGTAAATATATTCCAAGTCTTTTGCAACACACGAAAACCAAGCTGACTAGATTGTTCTATAGGGCCACGCGGCTCACTCTCTAACATTTTTGTATGATATCTTTGCTTGGTGGCCTGTAAAACAGGTTTGAATCGAAGTCCTCCTTTGGGTCACCGGTGACCCCCGTGGCTCCAACAGCTTAACATGGTTTGGTCCACCGGTGTCCCCCATGGCTCCAATGAAACAACCTGCTTTTTGTGTGGCGTTCAACGTGTTAATAAATAAGGTAACGGTTACATCATTAAAATAGTTGTTTGGTTCGATTTCTGCATATCAAAATATTTTCTTGTAAAAATCTGCTCGATTGAATTTGCCCATAATGACACCGCCCATATGTTATATATTTTAATAACTACTAACATCAGTAGAAAAGCCTGGGGATCAGGCCACCGGTCAACTTTCTTAAAGTAAAATTTAAATATCTCAACAAACACTCTATAGTCTATGCAGTTGTTTGTTCTAACATTAAGAGAAAACAATTACCCTCTTTTAAGGTGTGATTGGTAATAATTTATACCATTATATTTTCTTATTAATACATTGAGGTGTAGATAAAGTACGGATGTAGTTAAATCTCACATTTGATTTTTAGTTTTTGCAAACTTGATATGTTTTTGTTCTAAGTTTTTTAAATAAAGAATAAAAAGATTTCGGTATTTATTCTCATATATTCATATATTATAGTAATCAGGTGAATATATGACATCAGATCATCGACATCATCATAGTAATTGCTAGTTTTTAATTCATTAAACTGTAAATTTAAAGTTTTGGTACGAAATTTAAAAACAGAACTGAACAGAACAGAAATATAATAACGTCCTAAAACGAACTGATACCTCTCTGTGCTATGAACCTCCCAACAACCAATTTTGTGGTCCAATCAACAAAATCGATGTGTCACTATTGTTATATACATTAAAAGTTTTAAAGCACTGCGTGCCTTTTCTCTTTTCAGATAATAGCGATACTGAAGACGATGTAATTGTATCGTCGAAACGAGACAAAAAGAAACGGAGAATAGTTATTGATGATGACTCGGATTAATAAACGTTTTACTACATTTTAATTGCGTTGTCTGTTTTAACTTCCGCTTTCGAACTGAAGCATCAAACTTTCAAATAAGGGTTAAGGTTGCTGAAAAGCCCGCTGCCCTCCTTTACCCCATCTCTCGCTCCTGTGACACGTGGTTTCCGGTGACTGTCAACACCTACAACTTCAAAGATTGATGAGATTCGATCTCAAAATAATTCTGGTGACTATATACACGCTAAAACAGAATATGAAGATTACATGTAATGTAGCAGTGATACTTAATGCTTTTTCTATGTCCCAGACGTTGTGTTTGTATAATATTATGATCAGTGAGTTCTCAAGTTACATACAAACAAATTCGCACATTCGAATAAGCGTATTTGTTTATAGTCCTGTTAATTTACATCTAAATAAGGGGGGTTACTCATAATTATGTTAGAGGCTCAGTGGCGGAGATTGTCACAAGAATGAGTATTATTGTTATTGTTGTTACATTTTTCATCATTTCATTGTGTTGCTTAGTTTTTATTATGCACAATAATAATGTTACATGTATGTAAATCTGTACATACAGATGTTTCAAAGTATGATTAGATTTTTTTACAAATATTTATCAACTATCGATTTCCAATTCATTACAAATAAATAATTCGAAATTGATTCGTTTTATTATTAGCTGATTTATACTTTGTCCAGTCAGTTTCAAGAAGTTTATTTCATTCACCACATTAGCGGGTTTAATTTACCCCAAAAAAACTGGTCTATAACTATTATTTTATATTATGAATAGTTAAAACGTTATTACTGCGCCTGAAACCATGCCTACACATCCTGAAAACCGAGTACCTAAAGTATGAATGACCCAGTTAAAAGTTATAAAATTTGCGGTTTTATAAAATTTAGAAGTATGCAATAACCCTAACAAATAGCACATAAGTTTTCCAATTCGAATGCGCGTTTAAATACAAATGTCGTTGTACATTTGTTACGTTATTATTTCACATAGGAATTCCAATATCATCTCGCCATCGAATAGCAATATACTCATAGTGAGCTCAGTTGGTATTTTCCTTCCATTGCAAGGGATCGTGTGTCCCGCGCATTTGAAATTGCAAATATTGTGCAATATAACCGGGTGGAATTGGAAAAAAATGAATTTGTGATACTGCCAATGTTTATCCAGCTTGAAACAATGGTGATAGAGCTGTTTATGACGCTACTTTCCCCTTGATGCTTCATAGTTTGTTTTGATAGTAATTGACTAATCGACTTTCTAAATAACCACATAATAATAATGCAGTAGACAAAACTACACTGTAGTGTTTTTGTCAAATAGTAAACGTAATTTATTTTTCTTTTTTTGCTAAGGTACGTCGGAAATCAATGTCTATGTTATATTGTATAGGTCTTATCACACGAACTTAAACTAAGCAATCGTTGCAAAAGGCACTTTAATAGTAATTACATAATTATCTAATATTTATATAGAAATTATAAACACTTGACCAATGTTACGATTCCAAACTAGGATGAGCCTACACTATGACAACTAGACTGCTGATGAAAGTGCATATGCTTCTAAATACATACTGTAGATAAATTACACCAAGGCACAGAAACAAATGATTGTTCTCAACTCACAAAACTTGTCTTTATTGGGGATCGAACCCACGACTGCTGGACCACTAGACCAACAGGCCCATCAAATTATATTACCGACAGATTACAGTTCTATGATGAATCGACTTGAGTACCTATTTAATAAAAAAGCTTGAAAACGTAGAATTACCTTCAATCAAGTTGATATGATAATCTTGATGACATTAGAAACTTGTATTAACAATATTTCCTACAACTTTCAGCGTTTGAGGTTTTTTTAGGTATATCAGTAAACCCAAAATGTTCCAAAGCTTTCAACTTTTTTGATCGTCTCTTTAATCCACACCTAACTTTTTGATAATTATAAAATTCGCAAAATTTTAGAAATAGATATCATCAGCTATTTGCATTCTTAGATTGTGGTTCGATCGCAATAAATACGTTTACAAAACGAGTGTCATATTTGCGTAGAAAAATACAACACGAAAGTTATTTGCCTGCTAGTGAGCACCTACCTAACCGTAGTTGGCTTTATAACCATGACAAACGATCTTGTGCCCTTAATAATGTAGGCCGTAAGAGACTCACGCAATCCTAATAAGTATTTACTAAAACTCATGTTAAAACATGACGTAATCTCAAGTCTATAACAATCTAACGTATATAACAATGTTTATCGTCTCTTTTTTTGTTTATTTTTTTATTATCTTACTAAAAAACAGGTAATATACCATTATGTTATATTTAAAATAAATAAATCACTACGGTTTGTGCAGTCTGTAGATGTTACACAAAAATACTTGATACAATTTAAATCTCACCCGTCTTACAAATAATTTCACCATTAAACACTATTATTTCTTGCCTCTGCTTTTATTTATTACAAATGTGAAAGTTGAAAGGTTTTAAATGTATGCTTAATGTTCCTCTTTGTAATTTAATTAACTAAATCCGGCGCTACTTAATTTATCAGTAACCTGGTACCTAGTTCGTTCGCCATACCGTAAACACATTGTTAGCTCGCTCCGTGAATAACCTATTTTGCATTATCGTTCTAGTAAACAGAACCTTTAACAATTTTCTTCAATTTATCTTTACTTATATCTCTAATTAAAATACGATACCTCTTGGCCTAGATCGCCTATTAATTAGAATGTCTTTTCGCCCACGTAAATTGGTCGAATTCTAGGGAAGCTACGTATGAACATTTAACTTAAACTTACCTATTGTTGAGGGGCAGCCCACTCCCTATACCTTAAATCAAATATCGCACACAGTGTAAGTAGGCACATTAAATTTTATATTTTTAATATCATTTGAAAAAATCTTAATACTAGATATTTTTAGTAAATTTTTCCTAACCCGCTAGCGCAATTACTCGTGCATTACTAACTAGGTCTAAACTGCTGCCCCACTAATTTGTTAGATTACAATAGCCTAGAATGTATACCGTATACTAAAAGTCCGAGCTTGCGATTAACACATGAACCACTAATTGCCTTCTCGGAAATTAGTTGAGCTTTACCTAAAAAAAGATGGGTAATACGACGCAACAAATTCCAATATCATATAAAATTGTTAGTCATTTTTTCCTATGTACCTACCGGTTTCTCTCGAGCTACCCAAAATATGCCTAAGCTTTTGGGGTCGGAACTAGAAAGCGTAAGGTCTAGATCTACGTTTCATTTTTCTTTTCAAATTTCCTTTCATTGATGCAGGACATAACTCAAGCTGTCTGGTACTAAAAATCTTCACTTACAAAAACATATCTGTCGTATGCTTATCTGCAATATCTACTAGAACTGATTCTGATCTTGCTTTAAAAAACATTGCAGACGGAGCAATTTTAATCAACTATAATCCTCTTTCGTTGACATACATACTTATAACATGTACCTTTAATTTGTATAGATTAATACCGTGGGGAATGCCTTAAATCTTTTCACTCACCATCAGATTAGCGCACTCGACCCTCTCCCCCTTTTGTATGGTTGTTTTTCTAACATTATCTCAACATTTAATACAAGCACCCCACTTGTGTCGGGGTGAAACTCAACCTGAAATAACATTTAAACTTCACGTAATTCATTCGTCCATATGTGGACGCAATACCGAGTCATGGATAAACAGAAGCTTTGAACAGTGTTTAAAACTGGAACGTGTTTCTAATATCGTATTTCGTACATGTTCCTCCGTGTAACTTTCTAATTACGACAAAGTATACAGGTACTCAAATAGAATTGGATCCGTAACTGCTAAAGTACACCAGGTGTTTTTATTAATCTACCTATGACCAAACACGTAGGTATGACACATATGACCACCATGATGAGCGTACCCATGTTCAACACGCACATGGGTACGCATTACAGTGGTACCTACTCTCAACTAGGTTCGTGACAAAAACGGCAATATGCTGGGCATCGGGTTAACCGGTCCAGTTGCTGAACCTTTTACTGAATTGAATAGAATTTCCTAGTTCAATTTTGAACAATTCTTAGTACTTTGAGTAATAATCATTTTAGTGAGTATCGTGGGCGAGGAAAATACCACTTATATGATTACATAATTTTCCTAGCCTCGCGGAAAATCAAGTGAAAAAGAGTTAGCGAATCTAGAAATTTGTACATTAAAAAATAACGCGAAGAACATGCAACAAACAAAAAATTGAAAAAGACGGATCGATTGAGAGATGTATATAAAATGCAATGTATTATGTAGGTAGTGAAACACATCATCGTACCACTCACCTACACACGGTTTACAGCATAGTTACGCATCCTCGAACAGCTATAGCGGAAACTATTATACCGCTTCACAGCGCCGCCGGTTTCCTTGCTCCACTGGTGGGAAATAAACCAAACATAAACTGTTAGACTTAAACGCTGGAGGCGAGCTGGTATCACCGGCTTTCTACGTAATTAGCTTAAGTTTATATGGCATGGAAATCCCCACGGTCCACCTCACCAAAACTCACGGTGAAATGGTATGTCGCAATCGAACCGACCTAACGTGAACCTGAACCACACGTGAGCCTGTTGCAAAGGAGTCTGGTAGGTATACTCAAGGGAAGGGAGTCCGAGAACTCTGAGAGACCTGGCACCATTGAGTGCAGAGAAAGAGCCTTGGCGTTCTTTTTTTTATGTTAGTGAGGCCCACGCGCGCAACTCATCGCGTCATCTTCTCAGACTGCTTCTGTAGTGTAACGAGCAGTTTCATGTCCATACCAGCGCTGATGGTGTTTGGAGATCATTTTGCACTCTCCAGAACTGGCTAATCTTGATTTTTATGTATTGTTCTGGTTTATGCAGTAAATTCTAATCCCAGGGGTTTTGATATTCCTTGAATTAAATTATTATTCTTACCAAAAGAGTATTCCCTGAAGCTCTTCACTTTGCCGTCATAAAGGATAT